TTTTTACCAGCCCATCCACGCTGGCGGCCAGATACGCCTTCCTTTCCTCTTTGCTCATCTTCTTTATGGCCGCAGCTTCATGGGCGACCACTGTCGGAGGGAATCGCTCGAAAAAGCCCGCCTCTTCAAAGCAAGGGGGGAAGGCAAAAGATTGAACAGCACCGGCATCCTCCCCGACAGTCGAACCTCCTTTCACGCGGGTCCTCTTCCTCTGCGTCAAAACAGCACTGGGATCAATCTCCTCGACTTCTGGATCCGACGCAGGACCCGAGCTCGACGTCGAGTCCACCCTCACCGGCTGAGGAGCGTTCGGACTTTGTGGTGGTCCCATTCTCGTCGTCTACGGGGGCTTCACGACCCTCCTGCCTCGCCTCTGGTCGGTTGATAATTTCAGGAGCCTTTTGTGTCGGCTAGCCATCGTACCTGTACGAAATAAAGGAAAAGTCAGTATCGAGCAAACTGCATGAGTAAACGACGAATAAAAGAATTTCAAGCAAACAACCTAACAGGCGGGCAGCCTGCCTGTACGTCGGACACTCCACCAGCGCCTTGGTGTCGATCGGGCGAGACTCGAACGTCGGGTAACCGTCTTTGTCGAGGATATCATCCCCTTCCCGCGTAACCCATCGGGCGGGATGAAAACTGTCGACAAACCGACAAAGAACGTCGTACGCCCGCTGATCTTCCGAGCACATATCCCCGACAGCGGTATGGTAGTAACCTGTCCCATGCTCGTAGTGTCGGGACATCCAGTACACCGGGAACTTAGCCCTGCGACCCAACACGGGGCTCCCGTCGTCGGCCACCATCGTTTCCCCATCATCGTCGCTCACTGGCCCCTCCTCCTCGAAAAGGGAGTCTAAAGCAGCATCGGTAATTGGGCGTACCACGTACCATTTGTCCTTAAACCCCCTCACGGAATCCATATACATCTTAAAAAGTCTCCTCGACTGCTTCAGGGAGACCCAGCTATGCTTCCCTCCTCGGGACTGACGCTGCAGGTGAAATACCCGAAAGAAAAGAGGGATGGTCGCCCCTATCCTCAAGTAGCGACACGTCAACTCAAACGCCCGGATGAAGGCGAGAGAGTTTGGGTGTAGCTGGGACGGGGCCAGCTCCAAGTGCATAAAGACCCCGGCCTGAAAATCTGTGAACGGCAGCCGCAGCCCTAGGTCTTTAAACGCGATCTCATACATCGCGAGGCTGTAATTCGGATAGACCGAGCAAATCCTTGCGCCGGTCGACGGAATCATGACTACGAAGTTTTGTTGGAAGCCAGGCTCGTCCTGACCCTCTTCAATGACAGTGAATGGATGTCGCTCATCCCGACTATATACCGACGCTGTCCCCCGCGGCTCGACACCCACCCATTCCAGCAATGGGTCGGTCACAGTATCTATCAGGGTGGCCGACTCGTCGGCACTCTGTTCTTCGCGATCACGACGTCCGGAGGAGCTCGGCTCGTCCGCCATGGTTACCTGCAGAGCACGGGAAACCAATCAGTTGAGCACGAAGTCCTATGCTCGACAAAATCATGTCGTCCCATACACGACTACACAAGTCCGTTTTCACAAGTGGATGCCTCCCCGACTCTCCTGAACCCGGTGTTCTTCCTCAAACCAACTGCGCGGCCACTCTTCAAGCATGTCGACCCGAGGTATGAACATGGCGAGCCGCACTATGAAGCCCACGGCCACGACCATGAACATACCGGGCACGGTCATGAATCAGGCGCCCCAGATCATGAAGACCCCGGGCAGCTCTGAAGTTTTTCACCTAAAACTATGAATATGTCGACCACAAACATGCGTTTGCCGGTCCTAGACATGAATATGTCGGGCAAAACACGAGTTTACCGGGCTAATCCCACGCGCACGGTCCTAAAACATCTACAAATTCCAGGAATCATGCATTCTAAACGGAAAAATGAAGGAAGTAGATCACTTACTTGGATCAAAGTATGGGATTTGGCTACGAAATGGAAGAATCTGAGACAGGAAGTCGCAACTGGAGAAAGTGTGGGAGAGCAGCAACAGAGAGAGCACGGAGAGCGGAAAACGTATTATGGGGCCCAAGGTTCCTATTTATAGTGATGACGTGGAATTCCAAACGTCACCTCGGGCAACCACGGACTCCATCTCCTCGACTCGCTGCTCCCAACGCAATGATGGCCCTACCCCCATAGGGTGGCGGCACAGTTCCCGAAAGATACCTCGTGTGCTCGACCGACGCGCCCGGTAAGGATCCCCCGCGCATCCATCTCCGAGGGCGTCTTCGAGCACGACAAGAGGAGGCCCCTCGAGGGCCCCCACGTCTGTCCCGGGCACGAGACCTCAACGAGGGAATAACTTTAGTTCAAGTCATGGCTCCTCGCCAAGGAACCACGACTTGGGGGGCTCCTGTTCTGGACTGGGCCCGACAGGCCCAAAAGCGTCACTAAGGCCCAATCCAAAAGGACTTACGGAGGTCCACGACGGGCAAAGGAGTCACGTCCGTGCCCGACATCCTGATGTCCAGCTCGACATCCTGATGTCCAGCTCGACATCCCGCTGTCTAACTCACGTGATGGTCCAGCTCGACGTCCTATCGTCCAGCTCGACATCCTAACGTCCAGCTCGACATCCTAACGTCCAGCTCGACACCCTGCTGTCCAGCTCGACGTTGTCTCGAGCATCCCAACTAGGGCAGACTCAGTCCAACGTTCCCCCAACGATACTCCGGAAAGACCGCGTCTTCGTCCGCCCGCACTTCACGCAGCACATCCAGGAAGGGGACCACGTGCGGGTCCCCACTACCCACGTAGAACCTGGCAGTTCCTCTATTGGGCCAAATCCGCCCGGCCCAATGAAGGAACCTTGGCCCAGCGCTGGGGGCTATAAATACCCTCTGTTTCCAGAGGGTCAGGTATTCATCATTCTAACCTCAACTCTATTATCTGCTCGTACTCCCACTGACTTTAGCATCGGAGTGCCTTGCAGGTACCCCCCCTCCTCGTTCAAAAAGCCTTCTGCTCGGAGTCAGCCGTGACGGTCCAAACCTTCTGATCAGGTCAGATCAGATAATAATATTAAATTATTTATTTAATATTGTAAGTAGTTAGCGGTATCTAGTAACACATCATTACTATCCAAGTGACGAGAATGTCGTGTAATATGATATAATCTTTCTGTGATAAGGATCATGTGTACAATTACTCTTTTGTCCTCATATCTATATTGAACACAAGACATAGAATGTGTCACCCTTGTATAGTCTAAAGTCCAATATTTTATTCCTTGGTATATTTGATGACAACAAATAAGTCTAATATCTCATATTGACTTATTTGAGCACGATCATGCATTTTACAATCGTACTATATCAAGAGGCCCACATATATTATTCTCGTATATGTAAGAGGGACAAATCCCATCTAGATCACTCATGTCCCTCAACATGATTTTTAAAGTACCCATCAACCATCTTTATAGTCATCCTGTTACGGACAATGTTTGATTAGCAAGAAAGTACTCGACTCCACATCTAGAGTCCATAGTGATTTCAGGTCGAAGGGTGGTATACATCATTATCACTATGGGAATAACTTATGACACTTACATCAAAAAAAACTATGTAGTATTTTTTTTAGTGGATCAATCCCGTATAAATATTACTCTTATGCATTAATGTTGTCCTATTTGACAATAAAGCTTGGCAACTAATACTTTAAGAATAACATCATAATGTTTAATGAAGTCTCACGATTAAGTCACACTTAATAGGTCAGTAAATGAACTAATTATTCTAAAGACTTTATTATGTCATATACAAGTAACATAAATTAAATACAATGCCATATTAATCGTGGTTGGCTATTAGGGCTTACTCCAATAGTCAGGACCCCTAGCCTTTCTACTTTATGCCTAGATAGGCTAAGGGATTCGAGCACCACATAGCATGTCATCCAAGATAAGCTTTGCTTTTATTCTGAGCCACTTCCATGCCGAAAATTTTGCCTCTTCTACAATTTTTTTGAGATAGATTTCCTTATTTCAAATTTTTTTTGTCATTCCTATGTTTCCAAATACTCTAGAGGCAAACAAACCAAATTACCGAAATTTTTAAATTGAGAGAATTGTTGTTATCAAGCAAGTTGGAAAATGTTCTCAGTTTTTCCATATGTCGTTGAGTAAGGCTGACTGCAATAGAGCTCCACGTACATGCAAATATTGGACACTCAAAAAAATATGTGAGACTGAATCCTCACTCCCGCAACCTAGGACACACTCATTCTGGCGCTGGGTTAGGACTTCTTCCCTAACTAGGTTATCTTTTGTGGGAATTATTTTTTGAAGCATTCTCCTTACCATACATGACACTTTGGTTAGAATCGCCTTATTACAAATCTTCGACCATGTGTGGTTAGACACAAAATGGCTGGCCTCTGTTAGGCTTCTATACATCTCTTTTACTAAATAAATATGTCTTGCCACCAATTAGAGGATCCTTTCCTGCTTTAACTTATATCACTATCTCTGATGTCATGCCTATTTACTAGATTTCTATACCACAATCAATTTCTTTTATTTTTTACTTTTCAATTCCATCTACCTAGCAATACAAGATTAAAGGCCTTCAAATTTTTAATCCCTCTCATTTATGGGTCTTCACACCTGATTCAATTTAACCCAATATATTTTCTGCTCTTTCTCACTCTCATCCCATAGAAACTATTTAAATAATGATTTTAGTTTAGAGATGATATCTTACGGAGCCTTGAAAAAAGAGAGGAAATAGACTGACAGTTCTGGAAAAAATTGATTTTATAATGACCACTCAACTACCGATCGATAACTGCTTGTTCTTCTACCTAGATAATCTAGATCTCATAATTTATCACAAGTTGCCATATATCTTTTCTTCTTGAGTTAGCACCAATCGGTAATCCAAGATAAGTGAACGTTGAGGAACCTAGTTTGCAATTTAACACTTTCGCCGCTTCTTCTAGCCAGTGTTGAGGAATGTTTATTCCAACCAATAAACTCTTGTGGAAGTTATCCTTGAGGCCTGACATTATTTCAAACAACATAAGGTTGCTCTTGATAGTAATAATGTTTGACCACCTTTTTTCTCTAATAATTAAAGTATCGTCAACGTATTGTAATTGAGAAACTATTCCACCCCGCCCTTAAATCTGAATCTAAAAAACCTCCCCAACTCCAAAGCATTTTTCATCAGCATGTTAAACCCTCCAGCTACATTGAGGAAAAGAAAAAGTGTTATTGGACCACCTTGCCTAAGTCCTCAACCTATCTTGAACTTCTTAGTAGGGATTTCGTTTACCAACACCGAAATTGAAGATGTTTTTAAGCATTCTGATATCCATCTTTCAGGAAACCCCATTTTCCCATCATATAATCTAGAAAATTTCAATCTACCGAATTGTAAGCCTTTTCAAAGTCAACCTTAAACATCACAACTTTATTTTCCATTTTCCTCGCATTGTGTGCTATCTCATATGCAATAAGAATGTCGTCAACAATCTGTCTTTCAGAAACAAATGCAAATTACATTTATGAGATAACCGAGCCAATCACTTTTTTGAGTCTATTCACAACACTTTCGATAATACCTTATAGAAACAACCAATTAATGAGACAAGCCTAAACTCTGAGATTTTCGACGGATTTTGTTTTTTAGAATCAGCACCACAAAAGAACTGTTAGCCCCTTTGACTATTTTGCCATTTTGATGGAATTATGCCAATATCCTCAAAAAGTCATCCTTGATATCCTCCCAAGACTCCTTCACAAACTCGAAATTTACCCCATAAGAATTCGTCCTCTTGTCACTATCACATTTTTACACCGTAGTACGAACTTTCTCTTCTGAAAACTTTTGAATTAATATATATCTATATCATTTTTCAATTTTTTTTATCAGTCATCAACTATCCGTTATAATTATAAGTTAATTTTACCATATATATATATATATATATATATATATATATATATATATATATATATATATATATATATATATATATATATATATATATATATATATATATATATATATATATATATATATATATATAACCTTAATCTACCTCTCCAATAAAAGAAAGAGACCGCCATAATATAATTTTTTCTCCTTAAGAAGAAAAGTCTCCTACCGTTTTTCATCAGTTCCCTCTCTTATGCGTTATGTCATTCTCTCTCATATGAGATGTATATATATCGACATTTGACTTTTATTTTTTTGATAAGCACGTTGATATTTGACTTGATTAGTGTATATATATATGAGTAGTGGCAAAATTCCAAGTACACAGAAAGCAAAGAAATAAATATTCTTTGTGTAGGAGTTGCAACACATCAAATTATGGGAACCCAAGAAGCCACCCAGAGATGTAAGTTTCTCTCTTTCTTTTCCTCTATGTCATACAACCATGTTGGTTGGTTTGCTTATTTATTTATTTGCTTGCAATTGTGTTTTATATACTCTCTTTCTACAAATTCTATTCGTGATTATCTCTTTTTTTTTTCCTACAAATCCTATTCATGATCATCTCTTGTGTTTCCTAAGATCGTAAGTGGTTTGGGTTTGGGAAATTAGAGAGACAGTACGAGATATCCGTGATAAGCTTTTAATGGAAACTCGAAAGTCACCCATAACTAAATAAACTTTGCATTAATTGCACCGATTATCGTTCCACATGCCTCTTCCAATTTACTTTTTATTTCGGTTTGTTTCTTATGGTATTTCAACGTAATTAGAAAATGAACATATTTTAATATTTATACAGTTGACTATGGCAACATGGCCAGACTAGTAGTGACTATTTCAGAGATACTTATAATATAAATTGCAATATTATATATTTCTCACTTGTATTATTAAAAAGTTTAATTAATTAAACTAATAATAAGATATAATAAGAAACTCTAATTTTTTGTAATTAAATACAATTGGCTGAACCGAATAAACAAATATTGTGTTCTAAGGTTTCTGATTTATAATTATAATTATTAGTTAATAGTATTGACTATTAACTAAAAAAATTATAAAATTAATTAAATACATTTAAAGATTTTACTATTTGTTATAGACACATACCGCCGTGATAATATTATTCTGAAATATTATTTAATAGAATCTTAGATATTGAGTAAAATATTTAGGCTTTCCTATACAAAATATGTAAATTTTAAAACTTACTTAACATTATACGCCTCTTAATAAAACTCAAAACTTAAATTACCTTATACATATATGTTAATGTGTTATTATAGTGTCATTTAATTAGTTTTTTCTTTGAATAAGTCACACTTTGACAGCTAGAAGTAAATTTTAAGAATAGTCCTTTTAAAACATGGATATATTAGTATGATGGAAAGATGGATATATTGATACTAAGGGTTGAAAATTTAATTATTTGAAAGAAAAAAATGAAGTTTTTCTTTGTTAAGAAGGAGGACCGAAGCCAAAAAAAAAAAGTTTTTAAAGAATAAATTTTACGTACAATATCATTTCCTCGATTAAGGCACTATCCAATTGAAGCATTTCTTTTTTTCTTCTTTTATACCAGTCATCAAGATCAAGCATCATAAAATTAAAATTAATGAGTAAAAAAAGATTTAAAAATTTGTGATGATTGTTAAATTATAATTCGATTGTGTCGAAACAGTGTGTTCGAAGGGAGGTTGTCCAGTCGAAGAGTTTGTAGATCGAAGCAAGTTACACACAGATTTAATTGATTTTAAATTTAGATAAATTTTATTTACATTCAAAATAGATAGATTTGATTAGTACCAAAATATGTATTTTGAGCTTTTACAGTTTTGGGTTTTGACTTAGAGAGCAAGCTAAACTAAATTATAAATAGAGGGAGTAATCCCTAATTTTGTAATTAAATCAATTAATTGTAATCACAGAATTTGCAGTTGCAAGTGATTAATAAAGTTTTTCACAGTTTGTGGGCAGAGAGAAACTCTGCAGAAAATAACTGTCTTCTTTCTTTTCTCATAATTCATTGTCATTGTGTGGTGATATCAATCTTGTTCATCAAGATTGGTAGAAATTCATCATAGATATTTGGTGAATTTCCAACATCTGGTATCAAGAGCTCGGTTAATCGATTCAAGGGAAGTATCAATCAAGAACGATTGAGGAAGAAGAAGAATTCACGATGGTGAGTTATGAGAATGCAAATTATTGAGCAACTCTTCCAATTCTAAAAGTAGACAACTATGAGAATTGGTGCAAACAAATGAAAGTTTTATTTAGGTGTCAAGGTCTTTGGGATCTTGTAAAGGATGGATTGGAAACGCTTGGAGAAAACGCTTCAGAAAAAGAAAAGAAGAAACACACAAAATCTGAGAAGCTGAGTTATAAAGCACTCTTTATAATTCATCAATGTCTGAGTCCAGAAAATTTTGAAAAAGTGAGTGATTCTGAATCTGCAAAAGAAGTTTGGGAGGTTCTTGAGAAGTCTTTTGGTGGTGCAGAAAAGGTGAAAGAAGTGAGGTTACAAACTCACAAGAGAACGTATGAATTGCTTCAGATGGAAGATAGTGAGAGCATATCTGATTTCTTCACTAGGGTTACAAAACTAGTGAATTAAATCAAGGTATGTGGAGAAACATTAACAACAAGAGCTGGTGTTTCGAAGATCTTGAGATCTTTGACTCCTAAGTTCGATCACGTGGTGGTGGCTATAGAAGAGGGGAAAGACTTGTCGAAATTGACAAAGGAAGAGCTTCAAGGGACGCTTGAATCTCATGAACAAAGAATGACTGAAAGAGCTGAAGGCAAGTCGAAGAGTGATGTGGCTTTGCAGGCACATTCAACAAAAGAAACCAAAGGCAAAGCAAAGTGGTTCGACAGAGGTAGAGGCAGCTACAACAAATCGACTGGTAGAGGAAACCAGAACGAAGGAAACATGTCGAATCAGAGAAGATCATACCAAGGTAACCAAAGAGGTGGTGTTGCAAATAGAGGAAGAGGTGGTGGTCGAAAACCTGACAAGAGTCACATTCAATGTTACAATTGTCAGAAATATGGTCACTATTCGAGTGATTGTCTAGAAAAGCGAAAGAATCAAGAAAGTGATGTAAAGTTTGCAAAACATGAAGAAGAAGAGATGATGTTGATGGTCACAATAAGAGATGAAGATAGATTCAAGGATCAATGATATTTGGATTCAGAATTCTCATCACATGTCTGGAAGGAAAAACTGGTTTGTCAACATAAAAACCTTCAATGAAAATATGGTAAAATTCGCAAATGACAATATCCTAGCAGCTGAAGGTATTGGTGATGTTATGATTATGATGAAAGATGGCAAGAGGTCAGTAATTTCTAATGTGTTGTACATACCAGACATGAAGAGCAATTTACTCAGTATAGAGCAGTTGGTCGAAAAGAGTTATAAAGTTTCATTGAAGATAAAATGATGAGAGTCGTCGACGCAAATGAAAGATTAATCTTGAAGGCTCCTATGTCTCAGAATAGAACCTTCAAGATCGAACTAAATGTGATGGAGCACCAGTGCCTTTCGACAGCAGCTAGCAGAGATGAATGGATATGGCATTATCGACTAGGCCATCTCAATTTCAGAGACATCATAGATTTGATGAGAAGAAATATGGTTTCAGGATTGCCAGAAATCGACATTCCAAGCGAGGTATGTGAGGAATGTGTGCAGGCGAAACAACACAAGAATAGCTTCATTAAGGATGCAAGAAGCAGGTCGAAGGTTATTCTTGAAGTCATATACTCTGATGTATGTGGAACAATCCAGGTGGATTCGATGGGAGATAACAAATACTTTGTTACAGTCATAGATGATTTCAGTCGAAAGCTGTAGACTTACCTGATCAAGAAGAAAAGTGAAGTGATCGAAGTATTTGCCAAGTTTAAGTCTATGGTCGAAAGACAATGTGGTCGAAAACTCAAAGTTTTGAGAACTGATGGTGGTGGAGAGTATGTGTTGAAATACTTCGACAGGTTATGTGAAAAGGAAAGGATTGTACATGAGGTGGTGCCACCTTATACTCCACAGCATAATGGAACTGCAGAAAGAAAGAATCGAACCATCATAAATATGGTGAGAAGTATGTCGAAAGGCAAGAATTTACTTAAAGAGTTTTAAGGTGAAGTTGTGTCGACTGCAACGTACATTTTGAACTGATGTCCTACGAAGAAGCTAGAAGGAATTACTCCAGAAGAATGTTGATCTGGTGTGAAGCCTAGCTTGAGTCATTTGAAGGTATTTGGATCTATTGCACATAGACACGTGTCAGATCAGTTGAGAAGAAAACTTGATGACAAGTCGAGTTAAACAATTCTAGTTGGATATCATTCAACAGGAGGTTACAAGTTGTTCAACCCAGTGAACAAGAAGATTTTGATAAGCAGGGACGTGATCATAGATGAGCTTAAAAAATGGGATTGGACTGAAAATGTCAAGAAAGATTCAGTGGGAATCATACTTAAAGAACCAGAAACTCAAGTCGAAAGAGAAGTTCGACAAGAGGAACCAACAGTTATAGATCAACCAAGTACAAGCAGACCTCAAAGAACAAGACGCATGCCTGCAAGATTGCAATATTGTGTGATTACATCAGATGATGTGATAGATATTGAAGGTGAGTTGGTACATTATGCTTTCTACAGAAAGAAGGATAAACTTCGATGAAGTTTTTGCACTTGTTGCTAGGATCGAAATAATCAGGTTGGTTGTTGGTCTAGCAGAAATAAACAGATGGTACATATGTCAGATGGACGTGAAGTGTGCATTCCTGAATGGACCCTTAGATGAAGAAGTTTATGTTAAACAACCAGTTGGATTTGTGAAACATGACGAAGAGAGAAAGGTGTACAGGCTGCATAAAAGCACTGTATGGATTGAAACATGCTCCAAGAGTTTGGAATAAGAAAATTGATAGTTTCTTAAGGGAGAATGAATTTGTGAAGTGCACAACTGAACATGGAGTATATGTAAGAAGAAGCAATAGTGAGATCAAAGACTTTAAAGGTGATCTCATCAAGGAATTCGAAATGTATGATCTGAGTGAGATTTCATATTTCCTTGGCATTGAATTCTACAAGAGCAGTAGAGGTTTGATGATGCATCAAAGAAGATATGTAGGAGAAATTCTCAAGAGATTTGAGATCGAAGAATGCAACTTAATTTCGAAACCTGCAGAACCAAGACTGCAACTGTCAAAAGATGCAGATGAAGATGATGTCGACCCAACCCAATGCAGAAAACTTATTGGGTCATTGAGATACCTTTGTCATATAAGGTCTGACTTAGCATATAGTGTAGGTATGGTAAGTAGATTCATGCATAAGCCAAAGTTATCACATCTAGCAGCGGTGAAGAGGATACTAAGGTGTTTCAAAGGAACTATTTACTATGGCATTTTGTTTCCTGCAACTGATAAAGGAAAAGAATGCAAGTTAGTGGGATACACTGATTCGAGTTGGTGTAGTGATGCTGAAGATCGAAAATCAACAGCAGGATATGTGTTTATGTTAGGTGGTGCACCATTTTCTTGGAGTTCAAGAAAGGAACAAGTAGTGGCATTATCATCATGCGAAGCAAAATACATAGCTGCTTCTCTTTGTGCATGTCAAGCAACTTGGATGATGAACTTGGTCGAAGAGATAACAGGGAAAGATCATGGAGTAATTACCATGAAGATCGACAACATGTCAACTATCATTCTGGCGATGAACCCGATAACACATGGTCGAAGCAAGCACATCGAAATGAGGTTCCGCTATCTTCGAGAGCAGGTAGCAGATGGGAAGATGAATTTGAAACACTGCAGAACTGAGAATCTGATTGCAGACATCATGACGAAGGGAGTGCAGGTCAAAGTATTAAGAAGACCAAGAACCATGATGAATATAGATAGTTTAGACACAATGAATTAGGTGGTGTGTTAAATTGTAATTCGATTGTGTCGAAACAGTGTGTGCGTCGAAGGGAGGTTGCCCAGTTAAAGAGCTTGTGGATCGAAGCAAGTTACACACAGATTTGATTGGTTTTAGATTTAGATAAATTTTATTTACATCTGAAATAAATAGATTTGATTTAGTACCAAAATAGGTATTTTGGACTTTTATAGTTTTGGACTTTGACTTAGGTAGCAAGCCAACCTAAATCTATAAATAGATGGAGTAATCCCTAATTTTGTAATTAAGTCAATACATTATAATCACATAATTTGCAGTTGCAAGTGATTAATAAAATTTTCTACAGTTTGTGGACAGAGAGAAACTCTGCAGAAAATAATTGTCTTCTTTATTTTCTTTTTTCATAATTCATTGTCATTGTGTGGTGATATCAATCTTATTTATCAAAATTGGTAGAAATTCATCATAATATTTGATAGATTTTCAACAATTATTATTAGTTAAATTGATGCGATGCACAAAAGTCAAGGTAGGATAACTAAATATAAGTTTTGTATGAAATTTTCAACAACTTTGGGAAGCTACTATTGCTCCACTTGCCCCTTTGGTGCCCCATCAAATCAAACATAAAGTCGATTTTATTGATTCATTCATTTGGAGAAAAAAAATCAGTGTTTTCTGTTTTACTAGCTAATTTAACTTGTTGGTATATTAATGAACCAGATTGATGAAGAATTAAAGAGGCAGAAAGCCATTGATGATTGGCTTCCAATTAGTTCTTCAAGGAATGCAAAGTGGTGGTACTCTGCTTTTCATAATGTTACTGCTATGGTTGGGGCTGGTGTTCTTAGTCTCCCTTATGCCATGTCTCAACTTGGATGGTATATTTTTAATTTCATTTTTTTTATTAATGGTTAATATAAATTATTTTTCCTTCTTAACTTGAGAAACACAATGTTTTTTTTAGGGGTCCTGGGGTGACAATACTAGTCCTCTCATGGTTCATCACACTCTACACTCTATGGCAAATGGTTGAGATGCATGAAATGGTTCCAGGGAAACGTTTTGATAGATATCATGAACTAGGTCAATATGCTTTCGGCGAAAAGCTGGGCCTTTATATTGTGGTTCCACAACAGCTTATTGTTGAAGTTGGGGTTAACATTGTATACATGGTCACCGGAGGAAAATCTTTGCAGAAGTTTCATGATACTGTGTGTCACGACTGTAAAAAGATTAAGTTAACATTCTTCATTATGATTTTTGCCTCAGTTCACTTTGTCTTATCTCATCTACCCAACTTGAACTCTATTTCTGGCGTGTCTTTGGCCGCTGCAGTCATGTCGTTGAGGTACAACTTATTTTCGAGTTTATATTGATTGACTAAATATGATAAATAAATATATGTTTATTTTCCTTGCAGTTACTCTACAATTGCTTGGTCAGCTTCTGCACATAAAGGTGTTATAGAAAATGTTGAATATGGTTACAGAGCTACGACTAAACCAGGATCTGTGTTTGGCTTCTTCAATGCCCTTGGTGATGTGGCTTTTGCCTATGCCGGACACAATGTAGTGCTAGAAATCCAAGCAACAATTCCATCTACACCAGAAAAGCCATCCAAAGGACCTATGTGGAAAGGAGTGATTGTTGCTTACATAGTTGTGGCTTTGTGTTACTTTCCGGTTGCTCTAATCGGTTATTGGATGTTTGGCAATACAGTTGAAGACAACATACTCGTCACCTTAGAGAAACCAAAATGGCTTATTGCAATGGCGAACATGTTTGTTGTTATCCATGTTATTGGAAGTTATCAGGTGAATTCACTCTTTTTTTTTCCTTCATAATTGTTCAAATTCATTTATATATAAGGTTTCACTAAGATTGATGGTATTTTTGTAAATATAGATTTATGCAAATGCCGGGTATTTGACATGATTGAAACTTTGATGGTGAAAAAGTTAAATTTCAAGCCTAGCACAATACTTCGATTTATCGTACGGAATGTGTATGTTGGTAAGTACACTACCATCTTAATCATACAATTTTTGATGTAATGTAGTTGAATTCTTTTTGTAACTCCAATATGCATTGACATAAATTCGTTTTGTTTTTGCAGCATTTACAATGTTTATCGCTATTACCTTTCCGTTTTTCGGTGGTCTACTTGGATTTTTTGGAGGATTTGCTTTTGCTCCAACAACATACTTTGTAAGCTAAAAAATTAGTGAAGTTTGATAGTGTAAAAGTTCATATAATAAAATCAATTCAATTTAATGGTTTATTTTTCTGGTTATATTTCCAGCTACCATGCATCATGTGGCTAGCAATCTACAGACCAAGAAGATTCAGCTTGTCTTGGTGTTGTAACTATGTATGTTTGATTTTGTTATCATTTTAAATACTCTTGTTTAAATTAATTTTGTTTTAATCTTATTTCATTCATTGCTTATAGGTTTTGCATTGCCCTTGGCCTATGTTTGATGATTTTATCCCCAATTGGAGGATTGAGGACAATCATACTTAATGCCAAGACATATAAGTTCTATTCTTAAATCCACTCATTCTC